TTGTGAATTTGTTTTATTATAATTATCATTTTTTATTATTATTATAGTTTAGTTTAGTTATGTTACATTTTTGCATTTATTCCTTTGGAGTACCATATATATGTTAGTGCTAGAAGTGGTCAAAGATATTTTTGTTATAGTGGGAAGATTCATTTGCTACATGTACTTGTGTTATTAACTTATTCTTCTATAGGTACATACGTAACTTTTATAGATAGGGAATTAGTGATGTGATGATTTCATACTGGGAATTCTCTCCCCAACCTTTCAGAAGCCTCGTATTTTTTCCGTATGAGTGACATAATGTCTAAATATTTTGTGTTACCTGTGTTTTGAGAGGACTCAATCTATTTGGATTTCAGGAAGCAACATACATCTTTGGAAGCAGTATTAGCTACAAGAACAGCAGTTCTGTCTTAAAAAATGAAATGCCAAGGGGGACAGGAGTTCCCTATGGTTATGTGGTGGTCAGACGGGTTCAATCGCCGGTGGCCAGATAGCTCAGTTGGTAGAGCACCTGACTGGAGATTCAGGGGGCCCGGGTTCGAATCCCGGTCTGGTCCGCTGTATTTTTCTCCTCTCCCGTTACATTTGGTGCTGTGCCATGCCCTGGAAGTGACAGGTGAGAGGTCCACCAGGGATAGCCTGGGTTGGAGTCTTTGGGGGGGCAAAGACCTTTAAGGAGGGAGGAATGTGGCGGTCAGACGGGTTCGATCACCGGTGGCCAGATAGCTCAGTTGGTAGAACACCTGACTGGAGATTCAGGGGGCCCTGGTTCAAATCCCGGTCGGGTCCGCTGCATTTTTCTCCTCTCCCATTACAGTTACATGTGATTGATAATTGAATGTGGCTTTATGCCATTTTAGAATTTTTCACCCAAATAAAGAGATCATCCGCTGTACATGTAGGTGAAGTGTCATAATTTTGATTTATGCATGGTGACATTATTGATGCACCTCCTTTTTTTAAGGTAATATCTAAAAGACCCATGACTTTTACTTTTAACGCCAAAGACTTAGCAAAGGAACAGTCACTAGCCGCGTTAAATGCCTTAGTTTTTGACACGGCACTGGGTATGAGAATTGAACCCTTGAGGCCTCAAGAGTTCAAAGCAAGCGTCAAACCCTTAGGGCCCATTTTGTACATGGGATTTTAGTCCATGGATATACTAAAACTTTTGATATGCATAGTGAAAGGAGCTGTTGAAAATCTTCCCTGTTTTTATGGAGTTCCGTTAAAGGGGGGGGGGGGGGGGCAGAGACTTGACTTTTATATATACATTTGTGTATTTTATTTTAGATAGCATTTTTTTTAATTAAATTTATTGTTATACATGGGCAATAAGGTGGAATCAAAGCAATTCTTACAATGTTAACTCATTTTACGGACCAGTATATATTTTTTTAATACAGCCATTCTTAGTTTTATATATACTCACTACTCATATGTTTAATCAACATGAAATTGCACTAATATTTTAATCCTGTACATTAAAAAATATTCCCAACCCCTCCATAAAAAAAGCACAATAATTTCACTTCATTAAATATTGGGGCTTTATAATATGTTATTGGATAGTTTTAACTTTTCTTATTTACCTAGAACATTGAAAAGTTATTAATAGTAGGGATGTCAACGAATAGTCGACTATTCGACTATCAGTCGAATGGACCGACGATCGAATAATGAATCGACATTCGAATATTATCATAATTAAATAAATGCATTAAAAGAGTGATAACGTGATGGAATTCTTTCCCCAGAAACAGTCGGTAAGGTGATTTTCCTCATGAAAAAAAACGGTTGATTTTCCATGTACGTATAGAAAGTACAGTTATTATCAGGTCTAGGCGGCCTCTGTTTTTGGAGGATAGATTTTATCCTCTGAAAACAGAGGATAGCAGTCTTGCCACCTACCGGAATTTTCAAAACTAAGGGTAGTTAACTCTTAACCAAACAAATAACAGCAACTCTTGCATTTATGAACCGTACGCTGATTTCGAAATAAAACAAATAAAAGGTACAATTTCATATGATGACGGATAATTCCAGATATTAAATCAATCAATATAACTATATTTTTTGTAATTGTCGTCAATCAGTTATTCGGTATACAGCTTGGGAAACAAATATTGCACTTACCTGCCTGTAACTGAGGTTAATTATAACCACGCTGATTTTCCAGTACCGTAATTATGTGATAAGCAGCTTAAAAATTTTGATAAACAATTTTCTTTTTTGAAAAATTAAGTTTAATCATTTATTATTTCTTTCATTCACTAATTCTTAAGCACATCACTTTGTAATATTTTATTTGTTTATGTATACACATAGCTGTATGAATACATGTTAATTTCTTAGTAAACGTGTCAAATTATTTATTTTATTTACTTAATATGCTATTCAAATTATTTATTTATTTTTATGATTATTCATTCAATCCATTTATTATTTTATTTGCTTAAATTATAAAGCAGAGTATATTTTGTGTTTTTAAATACGCTTAAAATGTGTTTCCTTTTGTGTTTTCTTTTTTTTTTTTTTTTTTTGAATTAAAAGAAAATATAAAAGAAACATTAAAGTCCTTTTTTATTTGTCTAAATAGAGAAAAATCATAAAAAATAAAACAAAATAACAAGAAATATTCAGTTAAAGTGGAGCGCAAAAAGTGCTAACTTTGAAAATAAATTGCAAAATATCTAGACATAGAATCTCAAATCGCCACATACAATCGATAGTTTAATGTTTGAACTTTTATTTGCATGTACTCTGGTGCTTGCACATTTTGATTAAAGGTAGGCACGAGGTGTTTGAAAATTACCTGTGTTATCCTCTGAAATCGGAGGATAAACTATCCCACAATGCAACGCGGTTTCCATATATGGTAAAAATTTTGGCCGCCATATTGAATTTAGCTATCCTCCAAAAACGGAGGCCGCCCAGACCTGATTATAAGTGCTTCACTACTGCCGCGTACTGCGGGTATTATTTATCAGTAACTACGTGTGTTGTTTTTGTAATTAATTACCCACCAATTTACTAGGCTTTGTTTATAAAATTATCAAGTGGACTTGACGTTATACCATGTATCAATTATTTTTTGTTATTTTAAGACTGCTCAAACGCAAGGAAGAAACCATAACTGTGACATGTTTTGACACTTTCATAATTATTAAAACAATTCGCTTACATTTTAAACTGTATAAGAACATTTTGATAGCCAGAACAAACAATAATCGAATAAGGAGTATCTAACTGTTTAACAATTTCACAGGCACTTGACGTGTGGATAGTGTACATGTGAGATTAACCCCCACCTCCCAATTTATTTCATAATAAGCTTTAAAAAATATCTCCTGGCAATTTTTTTCTTTGCTTACTAAAATTAAAACTGACTGCATGTACAGACTGATTTATGAATTCTATTCACGGGGAAATCATACATTTTGGAGAATAAGGTTTCGAAATTCAAATAATTAAGCTATGCACGCGTTACGTTGCATAAATGTTGATGGTACTTTTTAAATAGATTTAAGTAAAAAGGGTTTCTGGGGTATAAATACATCATGTACCAGTGAAGTTTGAAATACAATTTTATTTTCAGAAAATGTTCCGAATATATTCGACTATCGTTCGAATAATGCAATCGAATAATCGACTAAGGAAAATAAATATTTTGACATCCCTAATTAATAGACAGCTTTAACTTTTTCTTAGTTACCTAGAACATTGGTAAGTTATTGAATAGCTTTAACTTTTCTTATATAGTTACCTAGAACATCTGTAAGATTCTGAAGGTCACTCAGAATGAGAGGAAGTGCTTTTGCTCCTTCATGAAGTCTGCCCAGAACTTCATTCTGTCTATCATATTCCACAAACAACTTGTTTACCAATACATCAACCTCCTAAAAACACAGAGTCATGAATTTATATCTCTTGATTTATTTAATTATGTTTTAAAGGAAAAGCATTTGCTTGTACCAGGTGCACAGCAATGCTTTCTTATAATATATTTTAGAATTCATGCAAATGCATGGCATGTAGCTCTACGCCACAGAAGCTAGCCAGGTTGAAATTCAAATTGCTCCAAAATAACAGAACATCTTTACATCCAAATATATTACTGTAAGTCAAACATTCAAACATTCTAGAGAAGTAATATCAGTGCTACACTGGAAAAAATTCATTCCAAACATTTATACATGTTTATAGTGCTTTTGTAGAAGTCTGTATCACTTTTGATACATATAATACATGTATATACATGTATGTTAATCATCTGTTTATAAAACATCGAAGGCTTCACTTTGTACAAGCAAAGATACTTAACAAATAACAACCACAAAAATCTTTATCTTGAGAAATTGAAACATTTCTAACATATCCCTAGTACACTTTTAAACATAAAAGTGGTACTATTCTATAGTTCATTATGTTCATTACCTCAGCCTGTTTGGCATTCTGCTCTGTATTATCATGTAGCTCTTTCCATATTAATTGATATCTACAAAACATAAGATAATCCTAACTAATTTTATTGAATTTAGATATTATTTATCTTCAGAATTTTGCCAGTCTAAAGATATTGCAAGACTTTGGTCTGTGTTTCTAGGTGATAATTTTATACCAAATGGTACATCAAAAACGAGAGTTATTGTGAGCAGTGGGCTCACAAAATGATATCCCCTGCTCCCATACGAGTATAACAGCAAAGTCCATTTTTTTGCTATGGGAAAGCCAATTAAAATATCTGACCATTCAAAATATAATGGAGAAAGTGCACAATGGCACTTTGTGATAAAGATTCTGTAAAGTATCATTAAATTTTATTCAGAGGTTTAGGGGGAGATGAGGTAATAAATATAAGAAATTGTTTCCCCCAATGATATAGAAAGAATGGCAGCGTCCATGTTTCGCAATGGAAAAACTGAAATATGTGTCAGATCAAAAAGCCAAATAGGAGGTGCACAGTGGCATTATGTAATAAAGTTTCTGTGAAAGTCTCATTACATTTTATGCAGTAGTATAGAAGGAGTTGCTGATAAGACATTGGTACCCCAAAGCATAACGAGATGGAAGGACAGACAGATGGACAGACATATGTATACTGACAGACGGACACCCCCATCACTATACAAACCCTGCTTCTCAAGCAGGAGGTAAAATACTGAAGACAGGATACAGTATATTGTTACTGAAAGTAGAACAATTCTTTCACATTAAATGCTCCTAAACATTCCTACATAAACAATGATTCTAAATTAAAAATTCAGGAAAGGGGTACATGTTCATTTTACTCCCTAATTTTTTATCTTGAAACACAACTTATTTCTTGACATGATATTTTCAATTACATGTATAACTACTCCTTTACTTTTATTTCTTTTATTTGGCTCTATTAACCCCCCTCCTCCCCCCCAAAAAGAAAATACTAAATGTTATGCACATTTTAATTTTAGTATTTCTCTATTAAATGTTCGTGAACTTCATTGTTATACCTTTGAAGTAAATCTGCTCCAGCATCTAAATTAAAAGAGGTTTTTGAGTACTGGGCTTCGGATTCATTGCTTGGGTCCCGTGATGTAAAAGACTTCAGTCTGTAAATATTGAAACAAGTATGTATTACAAGCAACAAACTTTGCGTAGAAAATCGAATAAATACCACATTTATAAAAAAAAATATAAAAGAAATACTGTGATTGAATTTCAAAATCTTGAATCTTGACCAATGCCAAGATTTTTTGTTAACAAACTGAAAAGATATATCCTATTAAGAAGTCTCTGATCATATAGATGACTTTGGTTTGGACATATTTTATTAAGATGTTAAAATGGATGGATCAGACACAACATCTTAAAACTTAGAACGTCCTCTTGCCTTGTCTTTGTATACTGTATGTAAATTACTTAACTTATTTAATAGTGTTAAAATTGTATTTAGTTTTTCAAACAAACTATATTGTGATTAAGGACCCTCTATACACTAGTGCAAAATGTTTTTTGGACATTGAGAATATTATATTGTATAAAAGTGTAAATATTGAGTTTATCTATTATTTTATTTTCAATATATAATATGGTACATGGCATTTATTCCCAGGAAAATTGTTCCAACGACAACAAAATATCAATAAATAAAAATCAGTTATTTACATAATCAATGGGGAAAAGATGCAAATAAAGAGTTCTTTTAACTTATCTTGGTCTTTTTAAATGTTAAGAATGGTTGAATTGATTACAGATTGAGAAATGTACTGTAGATGTCAATATACTTGAATTTAGATCTAAGGGCAGATCACTCTTACTGCAGAAAAATACCACAGGATCAGAACTCTATGTGCAGTTAAGACAGCTCTGGCACAATTTCTTGATTAAGCTTTATAGCTATAGCTTGAATTAGCTATAAAGCTTTATTAAGTTATTCAGAATACCTTGATTTAGCTATTTTTCTTAAATGTGTTACTTTTTTAGCATGTAGTACCTTGGTGAAGTGATTAATGTGTAGTATTCAACTTTGAACTCATCTGAAAAAAATGCATGTAAATATTGTCTCTTCTTGAGAGCTTTTGTTCTCAAAGTTCTAAAAGTTTTGGGGCTATATAAAGCAATTGATTTGTGACCACACAGTTACCTCTTGTAAATGAATGAAATTGTAAGGGAGGTCAATTCTGGTCAACTATCATACTTATATATCCACCTCAATGCATGCAACAGGTCCAGCACAATCTCTTGATTTAGCTATATAGCTTGAAAAAGCTATATAGCTTTATTAAGCTATTCAAAATAGCTTGATAAAGCTATTTATTTGTAGTTTTTCAGAAATATGTTTTTTGTAAGAAATAGACAAAAAGTCGCAAGTATTAAACTATTTGACTATTCATATATGTACTATGGGCTATCAAACCGAAATCAAAGATAGCTCTAACATTGCAGCATTTGAATACTTTTAAGCAAAAGATGAATTTTCATTGTTTAAATAACGTACTGTACACCACCTTGTGTGCGCTGAGGCATGGATAAGTATGATTGCTTCTCATTGTACTGAATTATTACCAATCAATTATCTTGTTGACCATAATTGGTCTCTTTTATAAATTCAATGAAGAAGTTACTGTATCAATTGCTTTATATAGCCCCAAAACTTTTAGAACTTTGAGTACAAAGTCTCTTAAGGAGACGCAATTTGATGAGTGATTTTTACATGCATTATTTTCAGAAGAGTTCAAGGTTGAATATTATCACTGCACCAAGGTGCGACTTTTTGTTCATGCCGAGAAAATAACACATTTAAGAAAAAAGTGTGATAAAATAGCTAAATCAAGCTATTCTGAATAGCTTAATAAAGCTATATAGCTATATCAAGGGATTGTGCCGGACCTGTGCAAGGTGGTGAACAGTTATCCCAACAATGGAATTTACATCTTTTGCTTAAAAGTATTCAAAAGCTGCAAAGTTAGAATTATCTTTGACTTGGGTTACTATTTTGATAGTCTTAATTAGTACACAAACGAATAGTCAAATACTTGTAACTTTGTCTTTTCTTCTAAAAACAGTTTTGTAAAAATCTGCATGTATACAGCTTTATCAAGCTATTCTGGATAGCTTAATAAAGTTATATAGCTAATTCAAGTTATATAGGTAAATCAAGTGATTGTGCTGGACCAGGGACCTATACAGGTCCAGTACAATCAGTACATTTAGCTACGTAGCTAAAATTACCTACCGTAGCTTTGTTTACCTACCTCAGGTAGCTTTATTTAGCTATTTCAAGGCAACTTTTCACAATTTTGCTTTTTATCTTAAAAAGACAAAAAGTCGCAAGAAAATGTCTACTAATATTTATTCTAGGTATCATTTACAAAGCAATCTAAAGCAGAGATAGTTTTAACATTGCTGCGTTTGATCACGTTTAAGGAAAATATGTATTCCCATTGTTTGAGTAACTGTACACACCTTGTGCGAGATGAGGCATGGATAAGTATGATTACTTCACATTGTGCTCATGTTAACCAAAACTGGTTTTCTTTGTTATTACACTCAAGAAGTAACTGTTAGGTCACAAATTAACTGTTGAAAATAGCCCCATAACTTTTAGAACTTTGATTGCAATTGCGCAAAAAAAGACACATCTCCAAGAGTGATTTTTTCATGAATTGTTTTCAGATGAGTTCAAAGTTGAAAATTATCACTGCATCAAAGTGCAATTTTCTGCACTTTCTGGGAAAAATTCATATTTAAGAAATAAGTTTGATTTAGTAGCTAAATAAAGCTACTTCAAGTAGGTAAATAAAGCTATGTAGGTAATTCAAGCTACGTAGCTAAATCTAGTGATTGTACCAGACCTGCTATATACTAATTAACTGTTAGTATATAGGTCCCTGGCTGGACCTGATATATTCTCTTTAGAGAAGTGGACAGACTTTCGCCTACATCCACGTGGATGTAGGCGAAAGCCTGTCCACCTCTCTAAAGAGAATAGACCTGGTAGAGAGGGCCCTAAATCAAAGTTACATGTAGTTCATGAATTCAATCAGGGATGGTATATGCAATAACAACCGCAATGACAACCTAAATTTGGGAGGAGGAAGTATCGAATAGTATTTCGTCTTTATATTACCCTGCTTTTAAAGTTTCCAACACGCTCATTTCCTCTGTTTAGGCACTCGTTGTAATTTTTGACATGATGTTTACGCCAAAATCGTCCGCCATTTTTAGGTATCACATGACATATCCCATGAATTTCGATCTCGATTAAAAAAAAAATAAATTGAGAAAAACGTCTGTAAACAAACCTACCCTGATCTTATCGTTCCAATTATATTCATTGTCACTGTATCTATTTCAAATTCAGACATTTTGATTAGGAAATGATCAACAAACTGCCAGTGAAATAAGTAAATTGATCAAGTGACACCTTATCGAGATAAGTGACAGTGAGTTATCTCGTATTTGAACAATACTTTTAAAACAATCTTTGTGAATATGCTTGTGATGCACTATAATATCCGGGTTGGGGATAAACCTCAATGAAAAGTGGAGGATATTTGGTATTACTATTTATTTATTTATTTTTATTTTTTTATTTGTTTATTTCTTATTTTATTCATCATTATTTATATATTTATTTATTTATTTATTTATTGCACATCTATACTTATAAATTAATAAATTCTGCAAATAAACTCCGAAACGGGTGCACCAGAGTTCTTACTTACTCCTCTAACAATACACTAGATACAAGCTGATGTCCGTAAACTATATTTAGATTTCACTCGCATAGTAAGTATCGTACATTAAATTAAAAGTCTACTTTCATTTTCTATAAACAACCATGAAATAGCTAAAACGTGAGTACGGTGGCGTTTCCGGTTGGCGGATCTAAGTTACTGGCAATTTTTAATGAAACTGACAACAAGCAATCGTTTATTTATTACATAAAACGTCATCACTGAATTATTCAATTAAAACTCGATTTAAATGATATAAAAGAAATAAGTTGTGATAACCGATTAAAAAGGGAAATGTGCAAAATATTTTCGTCATTCACCGATCTTTATATTGACGGAAGCTTCTAGAACATCATATAGCATCGAGCCCGATGTTAAGAAAAAAAAGGAGGCGATTATAGCTACATGACCATAAGAAAAGCTTTTTCGTGTAAATGGTCATAATTGAAATAATGGTAAATTACTGATAACACTATAAGTTGTGAATATAATTATATATCGAAAGACTATTACATTTACATGTATGTAGTAGGTTTTCCTAATAAATTTATCGGTAAAATTTGTATATATTCCTACTGAGCGCATCGTGACAACGAACCCGAAGTACAATTTGTACTTTGTAATAAACTTGCTTACATGAAAAGAGAAAATTAATGAATAAGGTATTGTTCAAATACAATTAAAGATGTAAAATTTTGCGCTTTAATCAATGCACATTTAATTTCTAAATACAATCTTTTATAGCTGCAATAGTGTAGCTATTCTCTGTAGAGAAGTGGACAGGCTTTCGCCTACATCCACCGTCACCGGTTCGAGATTTACACGTTTTCCAGAATCAAAACATGAAGGCTTGCGAAGAGAAGTGGATGTAGGCGAAAGCCTGTCCACTTCTCTAAAGAGAATATAGTGTAGCCCTCTCCTTTTTTGAGGGGGGGGGGGGTGGAGGTGGAGGGGCAGTGAGAGAGAGGCCAGAAAATATCAGATCAAATTAAAAAAAAAAATCGGAGAGGGCTACATTATTGCAGCTTAGTCTTTTGTATCAAATACTCAGCCTATTCATAGGGCGATAAAAGCTAATTTTTACACAGGTACTTGGTCCTTGGTTTATAAATATGTATGTACCTTATTGACAGGTAAAAAGTAAAGTACATTTTTACATATCAATAAGGTACAAACACATTTATAAACCAAGATCCAAGTACCTGTGAATTTTTACCCCCCTACCCCCCCCCCCAAACAATTTATTAGTAAAATGTTCATATTCGTTGCTTTTATCCTTGACGGAAATGAAATAAGAGCATCTGAAGTACAATATCCATAACACAGTATAACAGGTTTCTCAATAAACGTCAATTAATGAAACTGCTATTTTTCAAGTTTAAAAATAAATAAATAAATAAATAAATAAATAAATTTTTTAAAAAAAAAAAGGGGGGTTGTTTGGGGGGATTGGATAGGTAAATCTACTTCATGCGGGATTTTGAACAAAGTATTTGTTCCTGCATGCTGAACAAAGTATTTGTTCCTGCTATAAGCCGGTAGGCTGTCAATAGAGAACTACAATATATTTTCTGTCGGTAGTGGTATAAATTCAATTCCCTGCGCTTGCGCGGGATTTCATCTAGTATAATTATTATTTATCCAGGGCCGTAGGAGGCAAAGTCATTTCAGTTTGGGGGATGGGAGGGGCGCAAAGTTCCAAATATTTTAATTTTGGGTGTGCGAGATCTTTGACAAGCAAAAAAAGGGGGGGGGAGAGGGGAAGGGTCATCAGATGCAATTATTGAGGGGAAATAGCCATAAACAGAAAGTACCTTTCAGGTCCGTAGGAAGCAATTACAGTTTTTTTTTTTTGGGGGGGGGGGGCACAGCCATGCATTTTCAGTTGAGGGGGCACTATCTACTACCAAAACATTCTTGACAAGCAAAAAAAAAAAAAAAAAAAAAAAAAAAGGGTCATCAGGCATTTTCATTGAGGTGGCACAAGCATATAGTATCTATGTTTTCTATAGTAATCTATATATCGGCAAAATTATTGGGGGGAGGGGGTGGGTTCCTACGGCCATGCCTTTGGTTTCAATGGTATACTATTCATGTACATCGGCAAAATTATTGGGGGGGGGGGGGGTGGCCTTGTTATCTCAAGTTATGAATAAGTCGGACTTGAGTCCATGCATTTACATGTAAGTAAAGGAGACTTTTTTTTTTTTACATGGAAGTTAGAGCTAATTAATTTTTTGAACATATAATAAAGAAAAATTTTTGCGAATATACTTAAAAATCACAAAATTAACCGGGGGGGGGTGGCTAAAAAATGCATGTAATCATAACAACAAACATTATATGTGAGGAAACTTTTATTAATTCTAGCATGAGCATTTTTATTTCATATATTGATCGATATGAAAGTCAAAATTTAATATGTTGTGCAGATCGAAAAACACTCACTCCTCCTTTTAATAAGGAATATATGTTCGTTCCTAGAATTTCATTGTGGGGTTATTTAATGTACATATTGTACATAGTAAAGTAACTAAAAAATGACCTCCCCCCCCCCCCTCCCCTTTGGAAAACGCGGACCCCTGTTAAGTTGACAGGAAGAGTCATACAGATGAATCTTAATAAATGAAGGAAAGTGGCCCAATACCCCATCCCATCCCACCCACAAAGTAGGTTTTTCATGTTTGCATTTTTTATTACTTTTTCTTGTCAACAAATTTCTGGGTTGGATTGTTTTGAACTAGGGTAGAACCATCCCCTCCCCCCCCCCCCCGGAAAAAAAACTTCAGGATCCTTACCTGTGATAAATAAACTCAATTAAAATTATGAAGTAACATTTAATTTATATAGTTATGTATACTCTAATATGGGAAATAAAAAAATCTTCAAAGATAAAACCGCTGATCGGCCCAAAAATGGCCGGCACGGTCTATTTTCTATGTACATGTATCAGATTGAGTGAAGTTAATGAAAATTCGAGAGCATCTTAACAAAATGCTTGCAATTACAATTTGCTGACATTAATGATTAATGATGTGAAAATAATTTTTAAGATCCACCAACTGTCATGTTGTAAATTTTGTATTTACTGCCACCCGGTAAATTCAAAATTTACAACATAACACAACTTAAGTGAAATTTGACTAAATTAGATCCAAGCCATGCAGGGTAATGTTATGTTCTAATTTTTGAATTTACCGGGTGGGAGTAAACACAATATTTAGTGTCATGTTCTAAATACTACCCGTTGAATTCAAAATTTAGAACATGACAGAAAAATAACAATTTTGAGATAATAATAATCATATCTTCGTCAGATGATCAAAAAAATGTTTCTATATATCCTAATAACTTTAACCCCCTATTGCACGTAATATTAGATAGTTTTCATATGACACATTTTCTCTCCGAGTTATTTCCCTTGGCCGCCATCTTGGTAGTCAACCTGGTAATTTTTCTTCTTTGTCTTACCAAATTTAAGAGGGTGTAGAAGAGATATTTGGGGGGAAATCTTTAAAGAATAAAAATTATGAAATAAAGGGGGCTTTATCAAATGTATATTTTTCAGAAAAACAATGCTTCCCACCCCGCAATGGCCAGTATAAAAAGTTAAAGTTGGTTGAATAATGAAGGAATATGAGCATGTTGACCCCCAGTATGGCGGCCAACGGGAAATAACTCTTGCTAATTTAGGCCTACTGAAAACTATCTATACCATTCTAACTTCAGGGCAATAACTTGGATTTACACCCCATACAGGGGATTATTGGCACGCGACTAAGTGATGTAGTTTTTCATCAGATTTTTAAGAATTGCTACTTTATTCTATTGCTATGAAAATTTTTGACCCCAGTTTGTCCTAGCTGCCCTGGTCCAGGGGCACATGCTCTTAATCAAGTTCTGTAAAATTTTAATTATATAACCCTTTAGTATAGTAACATGCATGTGTTATTATATCAATTGGAGTAAAAATATTTCAAAACAAATGCCGTGTCCATTGGACATGATTTAAGCAACTTGAAACTTCACTGATGGAGATTTTTTGTATTAATATGACCAGCTATGGACTTTCTGTTCTTGAAAAAAAAGACGATTTTTCTCTATATATTGTCGTATCAAATTACCCCCCCCCCCCCTTATTTGACTTACTCTAGATCACGGGACCATGATCTGAATTTAACTTGAAGAACTTGACTATTTTCCTTAATTGTGGATATGTCAATATCAATGTATGACTTACTGGTCTTTTTAAAAGAAGAGTTCTTAATTGCTTTTTTTGTTTTCCTTAACAAACTAACAAAAATTAGAATTACTATGTTGAACTATAGGACTTAGTCTAATACATGTACATTAGTCAACTAAATGCATATACATGTAATTTAAATTAGTGAACTATAGTTCACTGTGGTAATTCAAAGTATCAAAGTTTTTATTAGAGTAAATCAAAGTATTTGCAATGGAAAACTAAGTTTTGATGAACAACTTATAATAGTTTACTATAATGAAATATAGTTTTTTTTCCCCGCACTGCATGATGATGCATATATACAGTGTAGTAGTTTGCCAAAAAAAAAAAATTAAATGTGAAGTTTCAAAATTTTTACCACAGTAAATAAAAGTTCCATGGCATTAACTACATTAAATCCAAAATTAATATGTATGTACTTTGATAAATACACTAAACGATATATTGAACCCCCGTTTTCTACGATGAATATAGTAACTGCTTACTGTTGCACATTAGCCATAGTATTTGTCAAAATAAAACGGTTAACCGTTTTATCCTTATTCTATTAGAGAAAGTGATAAGGCGCTAACCTACAGTACCAATTCCCTAAAGAAATGCATAAGACCATCTTAAAAAAAAAAATGTTTACTTGCCCTCAGGATAACAGGATTTTAAAAAAAATTGGGTAGGTAGGTAGGGGCAGGGGTGTGCAATTAGCATCGCCCGACGCCCGGGGCTACCATTTTTTGGGGTCGGGCTCGTTGTTCTCTGCATGCAGGTAGCCCCTTGGGCTAGTAAAAATTAAAAATACCAATGTTATAAATGAAAATCACTACCGGTATTTTCACTTATTTTTTGCTATTAAATTCCCAACCAATGAAAAATTTCCAGGCAGAATGCTCCTATTGTTCGTAAATCTCCATAAACTTATCCATTTTGCAGCACTTCCTGACTTATTTACTTCCAAAAACGATCGTTTTTTTCCTAATCCGAATTTCCTCCATTCATGTGTTTATGGTAAATTAAGGCAGATATCTATTATTTACGATCACTCAATCAACTGAAAGATAAGTATTATGTGATTTACGTGTACATAAAATATATTTCCAGTGTATTTAATAATTTAAGATAAATAAAAAAACGATTTCACTTCGTTTTAGATGAGCTAGTGCAATATGCACAGAGAAAGGGAAAAAATAATTTATTTAAATTCATTTTATTTTCTATCATAATTATTAATTTATACATGATTCAATTTTACTAGTGAGAATAAAACTTCAATTTTAAAAAGAATTACCTTAAACCCCTGACTTATTCAACAATAATTTATTTTTTCGTAGCTGTTACTTTTCCCACCTACATTTGGGCTATTTACTTTTTACTTGGGGCTAGTAACTTTACTGCTGCCACTAGCCCGTGGGCTAGTACTTGATTTTTTTTAATTGCACACCCCTGTAGGGGTTATTTTTATTTAAAAAAAAAACACTAGCGATCGGTATTAACTTCGGAATAAATGGGAAAAAAATGTTTCCTTGAGGCTAAAAAAAGTTTTGAGTCAGTCGGTTGGGAGAGGGTAATCAACACTTAATATTTGAGTTTCGTAACAAATGATTTTTTCCCATCGAGATCGAAGATCGTAATATTTAGTTACACTCGGATACTATCTGGACTTTTCGACTTCATTTTAGTTACATAAAATGAAGGGAAATGTGACCGCAAATGAAATAGTAACAGACAAAACGTAGTAGCTTGTCAGCCTTGTGTAAAGAAGTTGTATTAAATTTACTGGGTGGAAAAAAGAAGATGTCTTCAAGATTTTTGAAGGCTGCTAAGAAAAGTGAAAAGATTTTGTATCGATGTTTAGCGTTGCAGCATGGATGTTTGCATCAGAAAGAGGTATAATCCTTAATCACTGGCCTTTTTTTCAGATTTATTGCTGTTCATTGATGTTAATAGTGGAACTATATCATAACAAGAAATGTAACTTAGTGGTTGTATATTTACATTCGACAAGCACTAGCGTATATAGAATTTTATCTGTATCCTGAATTTCCTCTAACGTGTCTGTGAAGAAGACGTTACAGTACTCGTTGAAAATTTGAAGCATCACATGCTTGTAGCCATAATTATACAATATAATAATATCAAAATGGTCTGTTTTGTATGTTATGTGTTTTTCAAAAGTTTTCAAGTATTCCGTTGTTTCAACAAAGAAAAAAGGGTTCATAATTATTAACTCCATAGGTTGTATCCTTACATAATAGCAGAAAAAATTTCATCATAATTACGTAATAGCATTAATCAGGTTGGGCACAATCTGTTGAAAATACAGTCAAACCTCATTATCTTGAACTCAATGGGACTGAGAAAAAAAACTGAGAGCAGTTGAGATATCCAAGTTTTCGAGATATTGAGGGTTGAGGCTTTAATAAAAAAAAAATTCCTAGATTCTCATTCAATTTTTTTGTTGACCAATCAGTGCATATTCATCTATTATGCCCAAATAAAGTCATAGTAGAGGTTAATTTAAGGAGGTTCGATCCTGAGCTTTTGAGCAGATTTTGGTCTGGAACTTTATTTCTAAAATTCTGCATCATTTTTAAGTTCTAACATTAAACAGGTCTGGGCGGCCTCTGTTTTTGGAGGATAGCTAAATTCAATATGGCGGCCAAAATTTTTACCATATATGGAAACCGCGTTGCATTGTGGGATAGTTTATCCTCCGATTTAAGAGGATAACACAGGTAATTTTCAAACACCTCGTGCCTACCTTTAATCAAAAAGTGCAAGCACCAGAGTACATGCAAATAAAAGTTCAAACATTAAACTATCGATTGTATGTGGCGATTTGAGATTCTATGTCTAGATATTTTGCAATTTATTTTCAAAGTTAGCACTTTTTGCGCTCCATTATAACTGAATATTTCTTGTTATTTTGTTTTATTTTTTTATGATTTTTCCCTATTTAGACAAATGAAAAAGGACTTTAATATTTCTTTTATATTTTCTTTTAATTCAAAAAAAGGAAACACAAAAGGAAACACATTTTAAGCGTATTTAAAACGCAAAATATACTCTGCCTTATAGTTTAAGCAAATAAAAGTACAAATGGATTGAATGAATAATTATAAAAAATAAATAAATAATTTGAATAGCATAAGTAAATAAAATAAATAATTTGATATGTTTACTAAGAAATTAACATATATTCATACAGCCATGTGTATACACAAACAAATAAAATATTACAAAGTGATGTGCTTAAGAATTATTAAATGAAAGAAATAATAAATTATTGAACTTAATTTTCCAAAAATAATTGTTTATAAAAATTTCTAAACTGCTTATCACATAATTACGGTACTGTAAAATCAGCGTGGTTATAATTAACCTCAGTCACAGGCAGGTAAGTGCAATATTTGTTTTCCAAGCTGTATACCGAATAACTGATTGACGGCAATTAAAAAATATAGTTATATTGATTTAATATCTGGAATTATCCATAATCATATAAAATTGTACCTTTTATTTGTTTTGATTTCAAAATCAGCGTACGGTTCATAAATGCAAGAGTTGCTGTTATTTGTTTGCTTAGGAGTTAACTGCCCTTAGTTTTGAAAATTCCGGTAGGTGGCAAGACCGCTATCCTCTGTTTTCAGAGGATAAAATCTATCCTCCAAAAACAGAGGCCGCCTAGACCTGTTAAATCTGGATTCTACAATGCAAATTAAACTTTATCCAATGAAAAAATTGCTATTAAATTCCATTCAAGGAGGATTGAGCCAGGAACTATATTTTGTGGCGGAAGGTTTTTTAGAAGAAAATGATCGATTCCCTTTTGAAATATATACAGTACTGTTAAGTTTAGATTCCTATTTTTCCATGCTGGTTGCAAACAGAGCTGTTTTTTTGCAGTGAAATGTTTTATGCTGGTTCTGAAATATCCATTAAATTATTTCTTATGAATTATTTCATTATGTTGTGACAAATACAGTAAATATATTCTGAAAGTCCAGGAAAAAATTGAGCCAATTTTAACATGAAATTAACACTTTTTTAGTAATATCTAAAAATTTAGATCATAGACCCCCACTTTTGTTTTTCTTTTCTGAATATATAAGATAACTTTGATCAATCTGCTTAAATTCAGCAAAAGTTTAAGACTTTAAAATAATTTTCTTGCTTGTTAAATTTTTAATGCCAGAAAAATCATATTTTTTGAGTGCAGAAAGGTCAAATAATTGATTATGCAAAGCAATTTGAAGCATTTTCTTAGTCACAATTTTAATGTGTCTTTTTTTAAATAGACTAAAAGTTTATTTTGTCCCATGATTTATTTGGACAAAACCTTTGGAGGAAAACGTCGAAAATGTGATTTTTGATTAAGACACAAATTTCAGTGCAAAAAGGTCATATTAAATGTACTGTAGCGCCAAAAGAAGCATATTGACCCCCATTTTTTGTTTTGATTCTTAAATAAGCTATGTGTGTAGAAACTAAAAATATACTTGACAAAAAAAGTTTAAGACTTTAAATATCAGGATCCAACCTCGTTAAATATGCACATCTCTTACTGCACATTATCACCAATCTTTCACAACCAAAAGTCCTTGTTTAATACATCTATGTACATATTACAGCAAAAACCACCTTGTCAGCTATCAAAATCACACTGACATTCACGGGATATAAAACAAAAGTTGAATGGTTAGTTGAGTAAATATCCGATCAGAATTAAGACAAAGAAAAACAGAAATTTAAAAAAATCGAGGCGGGGGTAGAAAATTGAGGAAGGCAGGGATGAGAATCTAGGAATTTGTTATTATGGCCGAAATACTTAAAAGGACATAGACACAGATTTGAGCAGTGATTGGAAAGGCTATCAAGGTCAATGGGACTATGGCGCAACTGTCAAAGTTTTTGAAAATTAATGGGCCATCTATATATTCTGATGGGCCATTTTAAGAAAGAACAAAATGACAAACATATGTCAAATACGAAATGGAACACGTTTCTTCATTAACCAAATTTTATTTTTCAAGTATGCAGTTTATCACATTTAAACGAACCCACAAACAATATAATTTTTTTGGATCAATAATGTCAAAATTTCAATTATACATTGGAAATGAGTGAGGTAATGTACCTTTGTTGTCCTATTAAAAGCGCTTCATGTAACAGGAAGCAGTTTTTGCCAGGTTTTAACCAATGAGACTTGTTGTATTAGACCGATTTAATATGAAAGTAAAACAAGCAAGAAAATTGTACGTAATATATTTCCAACTAACATCGCTAAAATTTGAATGCGCACCTTGGCCCACCAAGGGTTGATTATATGCGCCAATTTTCACTTCAATGCGACTATGGCGCCTGGCGCAAGCCCTTCCCAATCACTGTTTGAAGTTAATATTTCCTAAAATTTTCTGTATAATACTATGACTTATATGTTGCTATAGCATTTTCACACGGAAGTGTAATAAAGAAACTTATTTTACCGGTATCTGGAAATTATTGAAACTACGAATTTTGAGACGTGTTTGATTGACACATCCTTGCACACTGGAAACATCACTCATGAAAGAAAATTACTCGCTTTTATTTTTATGGTGCTAAAATCCATGTAAAATCTTGAGATCAACCGTCCACTTGCGAATTATTGCTCTTGCAATTTGACGTTAAAGAGCCATTGGGTGATAATAAGTACTCACAAAAAATAAGAAATCTACAGTACTCATACAATTAAAAAAAAAAACTAAATGAAATCAAAGAGAGTTTTAACATAGCTGCTTTCGAACTCTTAAAAGCAAAGATGCATTTCCATTGTTTGAGTAACTGTACATCACATTGTGTATGGTAAGTTTTATTTTCACCCTTTTGCCTTAGACACAAGTGGGTGAATTTAAGACAGGCCGAATTCAAATTAAGAAAGTATAATTTCTTATACAAAACTGTTAGTGGGCAAAATTAAAATGGGGCAAAATTGTTTGCATGTGTGAAAGGGCGAAAATAACATGGCCGGGGCAAAAATAACTCTGTATACAGTATATTTCTATGGTAATGTTATTTTCTGTTCAGTGTTGGACTCAAGTAGGACTCATATGGAACTTATTTTCTCCATGGTACTTGTTTTAGAAGCAGTGATTACTTCATTGGCTAGTTAGAATACAAGTGGGTAAATAAAACATATTTCTAATTCAAGCTGTGTAGATAAATTAGGAGATTGTGTCGGACCTGTTAAAGTTAAAAAATGTGACGCATCTCAAGAATTGATTTGATATTCAAAAAATTCAAACAGATTGCTAGTAAAAAGACTAAATTTTTAAAGTTAATACATATTTTCATTACTTGTTATTTTTTTTCTTTAGATAAACCACAGTCTACATCTTGCTAGAACCCTTGCATCATCTGGCAAATTAAATCATGTTTTAGAGGAATTCATATACCACCAAAAACTGCCAGAGGGATTTGGAAGATTTGAAAAAGGAAAAAACACCCAAGACAAAAGTGGGAGTGAGGATACACCAAGTAAGGGAGCTTCATCTACAGATACTGATACTTCAAAGTCAGACAGTTGTGAGTATATGGGAATTATATAGTTTAAGATAATTGTCCAAACTTCAAAATAAAAGTTGGATCAGGAATAGTGTGTTTTATGGTATGACCAATGGGGCTGGTGCAGTTGTACTTATATAACTGGATACCATCAGAAACCTTTACATAGCTTTACTGTTTACACATCAAATTTTGATCTGCTTTTATTTTAAAACACCTTAAGACCCAGTCAAGACTGGGAATTCTACAGCTCCCATATATTGTTTTGCAATATAAGAAAAAGAAATTGACATTCTTTGGTGCACAAAAAAGTAAACAATAATGTCAGGGGTATTAAAGAATTTTTTAACAAACACAATATTGAGTAAATTTTCACATCACAGGGTTGAACTTTCAAACATGGATAAATGTTCATGTGCTTAAAAAGGCAGCAAAAAATACCATCATCCTTTACACCTAGTTCTAACAAAGAAAAAATAAAAGGGAAAGAAAGCAAAAATCCTAACAATATAAATATATCAACAACACAACTACATGTACAAAATGAAGTTCATGCTATAAAAGATTTTAAATTCCATATTTTTAGCAAAAGAATCTAAAGAACCAAAAGAAAAGAAAGATGAACAAGATCTACCTGACTTCAACAAATCACTCAAAGAAGTTTTTGAGTAAGAATATATTTTCAACTTTATATCCTTGAAAAGCTCAACTATCCTTTATTGCATTAACTATGTGTTTACTTATCTATTTTCTGCTTTCCATTATCTCCCTTTACACCTTCCTTACTCTGTATCCTATTTTCTTATTTTGAATCTGTGATAATTTTAAGTTCTCTAATAATGATTTGTACAGAAATATTGCCAAAGCTGCAAAAGAAAGAGAAAAACAGGAAGGAACGGGTGGCGGAGGAGGGGGAGGGAAAAACCCCAACCAAGAGTTTGAGAGAATGGTTTACGCTACTGCATTTCTGTTTGGTTGTATAATCATTCTGTATGTCCTAAATGACTCTTATCAGCGCCAAGAAATTACATATAAACAATTCGAGAGAGATTTCCTCAGAGAGAACAAAGTAAGTCAAATTGATCATCAATGACCTGAATTATGTTTTGTCTTTTAAGAGTATTTATTGCATGTGCCAGCATTACATTGTCAATTTTGGTTTTGTAGGTAATGAGAGATACATGTATATATTTACATTTCCAATAAATTTCCCCTATAATTCTTTACAAACAAGCATTCTGAGAGTATTGCATTAGCAATACTAGTCCCCTACCGGCAAGTGTAATCTGGTTCCCGTTAAAAATTGAAAATGCCATAATTCCATCAAAAATCAATGAAGCGGGATGAAATGAAATCTTGATCTTTAACTAATCAAGGTAAAGTCACATACCAAAAATCAGCTCAATATCTGAAAGCGTTTAGAAGAAAATTGCGGAAAACCCCTAAAAATTGAAAAGGTCGTAATTCAGTCAAAAATCAATGAAGTGGAATGAAATGCAAACTTGGTCTGTAACTCATCAAGATACACTCACATACCCAAAATCAGCTCAATATCTGCAAGCGTTTAGGAAAAATGTGCGGAAAACCAAGTGGGACAGACTGACAGACGGACAGACAGACAAACAGACAGACAGACGAATGGACAGACTCAGAGGAAACCTATAGTCCCCTCCGGTTTCACTGGTAGGGGACTAATAAGAATACAGTTCATTTTCTCATGAACTACCATGCATGGGCATGAATATCTCCATTGTTACGTCATAATACCTTACTTGACGTCAAAACTATAGTGCAAACTGTTTTGCTTTAAAAATTACAGTTGAGTGGCATTATTTGTTGCAAATCATCAATAAAATAATGTAAATATAAGAAATGAATTTAATTTTTGAAGATTCATGAGGTACATGAACTACAAAGCTTCACGCTGGCATATTTATCATGAAGTGCTAATGCGCTTCATGAAATATGCCGGCGTGAAGCGTCGTAGTTCATATCCTCATGAATCTTCAGAAATTAAATTCATTTCTTAAATTAATGTACCAAATAGTAAATACTCACTAATAGAACAAGCAAATGTTTAAAATGAAATGAAGTGTACAGGAATTAAACAGTGAGGTACTGATTCCTTTTTAGGTGGATGCTGTGATAATACATGCAGACACTAAAACTGTGCTTGTTCAGCTTAAACCTCAGTTTCGGGGAATAGTGGTAAGTACATGTAATCTAAACCCTAGCTCTGTTCAGTAATTAGTGTATGAAGAATATTGGTTTGAAGTATTGTACATGTATAGTGTATAATGACAAACCCAGAATGTTTTCACAAAACACTTCACATCCTCATGAAATCCCAGTTTTTGATCGTCTAATTAGATTACTGTTGATAATTGTAGACTTAAAATATTCTAGATTGTTATCAAAAACTTTATTAATCCTTGAATTATTTGTTTATGTTAAACAGAAGGCTCCATATTTCCACATAGGAAGTATTTCTAAGTTTGAAGACAATCTACAAGAGGCTCTAGAGGATATGGGGGCACCTGACACTGTAGAAATTAAATATGAACAACCGTAAGTAAACTGTAAGGAAACTAACTTAATTATAGAAACTTAACTGATAGCATATCAAATTGAAAATACAACTGAAGATACACAAATCTAGAAGTATTTGCTAGTGCATTATTGATTTGTAAGTACATTTTGGTAAAAAGACAAGATCTGGTTCTGAATATACACTAGTGTAATCAAAGATACATTTATCTTAATTGTACAGTTTATAACTTCTTTGAATATTAAGGCATTGTACATGTACCTTGTACTTTTTATTATCTGCTCACAAATCGGTTTATAAACTTTTACAATTTTACATATGACTTGTTTTGAGATTTTCATACTGTTACAAATTTTGTTACAAAAATGTTTTGGGATTTAATATCTTGGCTTTTCACTTTATTTGCAGGTTTCGACCTGGTTTTTCACTGGCATCTCTATTGACATTTCTCCTTGTATTATCAATGATGGTGAGTGGATTAAAAAGCTCAAAAGTGTTGCATACCTGTAGCTATCTCAAAATATTTTATCTCCCTTATTTAATAAATTGACTTGCATGTATATACATGTATGTACATCCATCAGATGATTTTTTCATCAAATATGTATTTTGCCATTATTTATGGCTGTGGAACACACTTGCTTCTCACAAAATCAATCCTGTTTTGATCCTGGAATTGAAAGGGTATGAAAATGGAAGTAAAAAAAAACACACACACTTACATACATGTTACATACATACATCTCCAAGGGGTGATTTCTTAATAGTAATTTTTTTTTCTGTACATTCTGATTGATTTAAATTCATTTCATAGCGGACATTTGCCAGAAGAGGACAAGTTGGAAAGGGGCCCGGTGGGGGAGGTTTGGGAGATCTTTTTGGAATGGGCAAATATCAAGTCAAGAAGGTCACAAAGGACACTGGGGTTAAATTTAAGTGAGTACTTCCTTTGGAAAGATGTACAAATATAATATGCTATTAAACTTTGCAATCAAGAGTTTCAAAACATAATTTCGCATGTATAGTGTTTATCTTGGTTGAATAGTTAAGTTGCTGAAAAATTAAACAAAGCAGACTTATTTGATGTGAATTCACTTTTACACCTCTTTTATTTTTAGGGATGTAGCAGGGTGTGAAGAAGCCAAGATTGAAATTATGGAATTTGTTAACTTTCTTAAACACCCACAGCGGTACAAAGAATTGGGAGCCAAAATTCCAAAGGGAGCATTACTGACAGGACCCCCAGGGACAGGGAAAACTCTTCTTGCCAAGGCAACAGCTGGGGAGGCAAATGTCCCCTTTCTCAGTGCTTCAGGATCTGAATTCTTAGAGATGTTTGTTGGTGTTGGTCCAAAAAGGGTATATAGTTTTGCATGTACTACATATTTTACATACTTCTTGCAGAAAGGTTTTATTTGCATTTGAAGGACACATGTAGAAAAAAAAATCTTAATTTGTTGTAGTACAGTGCATATGTAAATCATAAAGTTACATTTAAGTTTTGTACAGTTGTCAGCTTCATGTTTATAGAAAAAAAACCCTTCCTGTTTGTGATACAGTGCCATTTGTCTAGAATGGTTAGGCTGATTAAATTACTATGTTGATAAAATAGCCTATTATATTGATGTTTAACTCTTTACTCTGTTTTAGTTTTCAGATGTAAATTGAAAATTTGAAATTAGCTCATGCCAGAACTGATGATGAGTTTCAGTCTTTGCATTTTGATTGTAGATTAGAGAGATGTTTGCACAAGCCAGATCTAATGCCCCCTGTATATTATTTATTGATGAAATTGATGCTGTAGGAAGGAAAAGATCAGGAAGGTCATTTGGAGGTCACAATGAACAAGAAAACACATTGAATCAGCTTCTAGTCGAGATGGATGGTAATTTGAGAATTTACAATCTTTACAGTCTTGTTATTCTCAAAATCATGTACTGTACACACACATGTAAGAGTCAGTGTCTTGAAAGAATGGCATGTGTACATATACTATAAGAGGTGAAGAATCCAAATATATTGACGTTTGTTTAAATTTAATTGTAATGCTCAAGACACTTAATTTTTTTGTGTTTTCTCAGGTTTCAATACCCAGGAAGGAGTCGTGATTTTAGCAGCTACCAACAGAATGGATGTTTTGGACCAAGCTCTACTGCGGCCAGGTCGATTTGACAGACAAATTTATGTACCTACCCCAGACATTAAAGGAAGGTGAGCACTAATCAAGTGCAAAAAATAAAATCAAAGTTTTAAAAAGTTGTATATCCTTGACAATTGACAATAAGGTGTTTCTGACTGTAAAAACTACAACTTTAATACAACAAATCTTATCCCATTTAATTCAATGTATAGAGCTGCCTTAGAATATTTAATAGGGTTGGCTTCATTCCAAGCAAAATTTTCAGATAAATGAAGATTCTAGATACATTGAAACTGGATTCCTTTTGTAAATTAAGTTTTTCTCATCAAGGAAATAATTACAAGTAAAACTTTGTAACAATTTCCTAAAGATACATGTAAGTGAAGGAGTAGTATTAAATGTGATGTATGTTTAAATGAAATTACACAAATAGGGCATTCAAACCTTTTTAAATGAAGTGACACCTTTTTAAAATGGGGAATAATTAAGAAACAGTTAAACTATTAATCTATTTTTATTTTCAGAGCCTCAATATTTAAGGTTCACTTAGAAAGAATAAAAACAGAAATGGATAAGAAAGAGTTAGCAAAGAAAATGGCTTCCATGACTTCAGGTTTTTCAGGTAGATTGAATTGAATTTTTTCTTTTGGTGCTCCATAATATTTAAGTTCATCCTTTTTTTAAGTGCAGAATATAGTAAAACATGCTTATAAAGTGCAAGGGATGGACAGATTTGCTTTGTTATAAACATATTTTGTTATATTCATTAAGTTCACAATATATTTTAATAAAGCCTTGGGGAACGGAAATCACTTTGCTGTAAGCATCAGTTCATTATAAGCATTTTTGCTATAAGCATGTTTTACTGTATATACTATTTGTTCATTACCTTTCTAGTTACTTACAAATTGATAGTTATATTGATATTTTTTTATACAGGAGCTGACATTGCTAACATATGTAATGAAGCAGCATTGATTGCTGCTAGGGAGAGTGCAGCATCTGTCACCATTAAACATTTTGATGCAGCCATTGATAGAGTAATTGCAGGTGAAAATTTGTTCAGATGTCAAAAAGTGCTTTGTGTTTGATTTTAAAGTTAAATTTTTCCACAGACATTGATCTTTTCATTGCATATTAATATCCTTTATGATTGATAATCAGATACAGATACACTGTACATGTTTAACTTTTTTTGATTGTTCTAAAGGTTTGGAAAAGAAAACAAAGATTTTTCTGCCTCATGAAAAGAAGAAGATAGCTTTTCACGAGGCTGGCCATGCTGTAGCAGGATGGTTCTTAGAACACTGTGCTCCATTACTGAAAGTAAATCCTACTGTAAAAAGTCTGCTTTTATCATGACTCTTAACTTTCTGCAACTGAGGCCATTGCTTTCCCAACTGAAATACTTCAGCATATAAAGAAAAATATAACAAGTAAAGCAATAATGATATGTAATGGTAATTTATCAGCATTGAGTTCATGCCATTTTCATTGATAGGTCTCAATTATACCACGAGGCAAAGCATTAGGGTATGCTATGTATGTCCCAGTTGAAAGACAATTATACACTCAGCAACAGGTAGGTTTGGACATCAAATATACTGTTTTATCATTACAGTAAAACTCGTTTAGTACGAACACCGATATAGGGAATTTACAGGTATAGCGAAGTTTTTTGGAATCCCTGGTACAATTCTTATCAATTCCTTGTGATTTTTTAAGGGTATAACGAACTCGGATGTACCAAATTTACGGATATAGTGCACTGATTTTGTGTCCCCTAAGGGTTAAAAATCAGGAAATTTAAATCTTTTATAGCAAATTTTCAAAGATCTCAATTTTTAAAATATTGAACCGACACTATTTTTTTTAGTCATTTTTGAAGGAAAAATTTCTATATTGCATATTCCCTATATAAACTTTAACAAATTCATTATTCAGATATAAAGATTTATGGATACAGCAAAGTAAGATACAGGTCCCCAAGACTTTGCTATAACTGAGTTTTACTGTATATGTTTTACCAGTATATATGTAGATACACATCCTAATGCAGAATAATCTGTTGGATTAGAATATTTATTACAGATAATTAATATGTAACGCCATCTTTAAAAAAAATGCCCATTTGCTTTCTCCGGACAGACGAAAAATTGCCCCGACTCTAAACTTTTTTAAACTCCAGGAAATATTTTTTTATTCTATTCAGAATTTCTCTTCCTGTCAACTATTTCAGTTTATTTAATTCACATACTTTCAGTTTCAATTAATTTTGAAAATTAAGCTTTGATGTTGAAAAATTTCTGAAAAAAAAATTTCCGCATCTACCTACCTCACTACCAACCTATCTACCCATTTTTTTCCACCCTGAGTCGGGAGAGGGCAAGCAAACTTTTTTTTTTTTTAAGGTGGAGGATCCAGTGAAGTGAAATATTACCAGTGATATTAATGTATATATTTTTTTAATCAGATCCAAGATCAGATGTGTCTAGCCTTAGGAGGAAGAGAATCAGAAAAGCTGTTCTTTGGGGAGTATACATCAGGGGCCATGGATGATCTTCAGAAAGTGACATCTATGGCTTATTCACAGGTATAGCAAATTGGGTTTGTACAAGGGTCATAATGGCTTGTTGTAAAGTAAAGTACAATTGCAGCAAATAACAGCTTGTAATTTTTAATATCTAGATAATCATTCCGTATTTCATAGAACTAGTGTAGGTGAAAAATATTTATGTAAGCATGGATTTTCATTATCCAGACATGCCCTAAAATTTTTTTGACTTTGATCCAACTATTGCTGAAAATGTATTTCACTTTATAGGTTGTAATTACTTAGTCTTCTTTCACATTTTGTTGGTATATGTTCTATAAACTGTGCCTTGTCTTTATAAATCTGATTCACAAATAATATAATCCTCTTCTTTCAGCTTTTATCTTTCTCATTCAAGGTCAAACAGTTGTTAGTATCTTATCAATTTATAAGCATTGCATTTATGATGAGTTCAAGGGAAATAAGTACATGAGTGTCTGTTTTCAGGTAGTTACTTATGGAATGAATGAAAAAATAGGTCAGGTCTCCTATCATGATCCATCCAAACAAGACCAGGGCTTCACCAAACCCTACAGTGAGGAAACAGCTAAGATGATTGATGAGGAAGTGAGGGCTATGGTGAAACAGTGCTCAGAGAGGACTTTTGAACTCCTTAAATCAAAGAAAGCAGAAGTAGAAAGGGTAATTCATTTCATACCTTAGACTGAAGGCTGTTTATACATGTACTTAAAATGCAGAAGTGATATAGAATACATGAATATGCAGTATGTATTTGATATGATCCTACTAATTAACCTCTGATTAAATAGGTTGCTACTAGACTGATGGAGAGAGAAAAAATAGAAAAGGCAGATTTAGAAGAACTCCTTGGAAAAAGACCTTTCGCAGAGAAGACAACATATGAAGAATTTGTTGAAGGCACAGGTTGGTTGTTTTTATTGGCATAGTTACCTGGGTAATCTAAATTGACTATAAAGATTAAACTTTTTAAACACACTTAGATGACCCATTATTAGCGAATATGTCTAAATCCAGGGACAAGATTCATTTGTTTAAGGTCCAAGTCATAAAGTTAGAAAAAGTAGGAATTCCTGTAGATTGCTCATCACTGGAGGATATGTATTATTCTAAGCCTTGGTCACTTATGTCAATAATCTAGGGTTTAGACCTGTCAAATTGTTGTCTTAACTTTATTGTGCAGAGATTATGAAAGTCATACTTAATGCATAAGGTTGTTTATGACCAGAGAATTTGTCCGTAATGTAAGGATGTACATGTATAGTGCCATTTAAATAAGGACAGACCACATGAATTGCAGTGTAAATGTGAAGTTTTATTGTGTGCTGTGAGGGAGATCTGAAAATTATCATTAAAATTAAAGTGTATTTCATGGTTCTGCAATTTTAAATGTGGTCAATTACTGTGAAATCATTTTAATTTGTGGGGGTCAATATTTGTGGACATTCAAAATTTCACTGGTTCATGGAGACATAAAGTTTACAGTTTACGGAAGATTTGATGATCTGATACATACACTGTAGATCATTCATGGGAAAGCCAATTTGTAGGCAAGTGTAACCCATGAAATCCAGGAATACTGATTCCCCACAAACAGAGAAGATTACACAGTATTATATATATAACTTCTCATCAGTAGCAAGCCTGAGTATAAATTTAGTTGTACTTTGATATGACAGGATCTATAGAGGAGGACACAAGTTTACCAGAGGGCTTGAAAGACTGGAATAAATCGGAGGAGGAGAAAGAAAAAGAGGAAAAGAAACCAGAGGAACAGACAAAGAAACAAGAGGCAGAGTCCACTGCTGGCCATTAAGATCTGTACTTAGTGGTGGGAGTTTGCATAAGATGTTCATATAAAATTCAAAGAATTATGGAGTGTATTAGTAATTAATTTGTTTTACAAAGACGCTTTCCTGAGCTATATGTGTAGAAAGTAAATGTCAGATTATATTGAAACACTGTAATTTATGAATTCGAATGTAAGGAAAATTGCTCTTTGAGGTTAAGAAATGCCATATTATTGTGATGGAACTGTACTTGTTAAGAAATATTAAATTTCATTAAATACTGCTGCTGTTTTTTGTTTTTGTTTTTATGGAGGGGTGGGGGTAGGAAGGCTTATACATGTACAAGATTATTTTTTACATATGACAGATGAAGAATATTCTTATTTAATATAAATCATTAAGTGTTAATTCTTAAAATTAAGCTTACATCAGACCAAAGGTGTAAAATCCAAGTTGTGTCAGTTTTAGAGGAGCCCCTAAGCAGAGCAGATTTTTACTTTTAAAGTTGAGAGACTGCAGAATATATCTGGTCAATTTATATTTAACATTTGTGACCACATTTTTTCACATCACAACAAAAAATTCATGGTTGAAATATTTGTTTGGAACTTGACGTTCCATGTTCATCACGAGAACTTCTTTGACCAAGATAAGTTTGGTCCTGATTTTATGTGCATTGTTTGAAACATTGCATTGAATCAAAGAGATTGTACTTGAACAAAAATTTTTTTCACTTTAGAAACCTTGATCTTTGATTTCAATTGAAATTGGTCAAGACCAAATAAATGTAAATCATTGAAGAGAATTTACTGAAGAGGTATACTTTCCGAATGGTATTAATTTGTATGCAGCAACACATTTTCTGCAAAAAAATTGTCTTAATGTACTTTTTAAAAGTACATTTCAGCCAGATAGTGGCAATTTAGAAGGCTAAACAGAAATTGTGATTCTGCGGAATTATGACCCCATGGGAAAAAAAAAATGTTTACAGTATTCTAAAAGCTTTCATAAAAAAAGACATCTGTATTGTAATTCTAACCTTAACCTTTTTGGCTCAAACTTGAACAGGATATCCTCCCTATCTCAGATACTAAAGATCTGTATGATAAGACTGTGTCTGATGATCTTACACATCTCTTGTGGATCTATATTCAACCTATAGATGAGTTTAAAAAATACACAAAATAATATATTCAGTGACATAAACTTTATACAATAAATTGTACAAAACTGCAGGTTATTTTTTTTTTTCAATTTTGAAAAGGATGCAAGACAATAACAAGAGCGACTCAGAATAATTGTTACACTTGAAAGAGATTAATATCACATATATAGCTTTTGAAAAACGTGAGTATAGCTTCATTTGTATTTATCATGTTGAGATGAAAACGAGATCGGTGTATGTAGACTGGATAGATGAAAATCTGGTGAAAATCACAGTTTAAACAGTGACAGCAATTTAATATTGTCATTTTTAAAGGAACTTCTCTCTCTTTCTCTCCTCTCTCTCTCTCTCTCTCATAAAATTCAGTGAAATAAAGTTTGATCCACAGCTGTCCCAAACAAAAGTCTCCAAGATGATGGAATTTTCCATGTAGAGGCAGGCTTTATAATGGTCTTTCCATCCAAATCATATTTGGGCTGCAAGTATGGAAAATTACACAAGTATATAAAAAAAGACATTCTAATTGCATACAATACTTCAATTCAAATTCAAAACAGACTAGTTTATTCCAATACACAATAGAATAAAGATTTTAACAGAAAACAAAATGATGTACAGTGTACACTAGTAAATTGTGAAAGCCACCAGAATTAACAAAAATTTTGGTCAAGGTAATATCACCTTTACAGACAGGCACTCTAGCTAAGTATGTGCGAGAAAAAATATATATACTTCAGGGAGTGAATTACACAAAGATCTGTTTCAACCTTGAAATTGTATATGTTCTTGTAATTTGAAACTCAGGATGAGACCTTTCTACCATAGGACCTCTAAGAGTAATGTACGAGTGTTATTTTGAATGGAATATATCCTCTAGAGAAGTTTAACACAATCCTCTGTTACAGTAATGAACTTGACCTTTGATTTGGAAAAAAAAATTAGTTCAGGTTCACCAAACAACAGTACGACTCCATCCAATGACACACTATGGGTATTACATTTAATGATACATGGAAAGGCAGATGTACTATGGTACATAGGCAGATGTACTAGACAATGAATTTTCACACTGTCCTGTTCTGGCTTTGACCTCAGAGGTTAAACTTTGCTCATGATCATTGCATACCTTTTCCCCATGGATGTTATGTGGGTGAAGTATGAATGATATTAAATCATAGAAAAACAATGTAAATGCAAAATCCTTTGTAATGACTGATCTTGGAATTAAAAACTTTAAAATCTTCTGTTATAACCTTAATCTTTAAAAAGACAGCTTTTTGTACTCCCTTAACTTGTTACCTATATATAAAGATATTCTTTGAATGAAGCATGAGTCATACTGGACAAAGGCAGAGAAAATAAACCCAAGTCAAATTAATTTTGTCCTTTAAGTTTAAAACTTTGTTTTAAAATCACTGGATACCCCATATCTGTTGAATATTACAACAAGAGAGGAAATATCTTTAAGGCAAGGAATTTAGGCAATGTTCCATTTCTTGACTTTGAATTAAGAAATACTCTGAGTCACTCTGCCCACTTTCCCAAAAGATACCTTTTGAGAAAAAAAAAATTATGCAAGACACTGGGCCAAGGGGAGAGAAGTCTGTCAGAGGAACAGATACCAATCCTTATAATTTACACGCAAAACAAAACCTTAATAATTTTTAAAATTGATAATATTATTTACCTTAAAATCAATTAAATCTAGCCATAAGTTCAGGTTATAAGCCAATTTAACAGCATCCTGTGCATTGTCTCCTTCTGCACAAAACACAAGGAGGACTATAGCAGGTATACTTTCTTTAGAACTGCAACAAAAATAGGAGTTTGATTTATAACACAGATAAATGCTCTGATTTAGAAACAATGAATCAGATTTTTTTCTATGAATGATGTATGTGTAATAACTTTTTTGTAATAAGCTTTTTTTAATAATAAAAAAAAGCAATTTAGTGAAAAAAAAGCATTTTATTGAATCTTTCAGAGAAAAAATTACTCGTAAAACCTTAAAGTTTCGTATATTTCAGTGCATTTAGATTTTGTAATATGGATAAAGGAGTTAATATCACAAATATTTTTACTTGCCATTCTTCAAACAAGGTCCTGGCAATGCCACCCCCTGGGAGGTATAGTGAATCCTCTGTCCTCCCAGACTCAATAAGACAGGGTCTTTGCTCTAAAAGTTTCCACTGTAGAGCCTCATGACAAAACCTTTCCTTATGTTTGGCTTCCAAATCAGAGGTGGCTACATACCTGAACTGGGACCTGAAATTATAGTTATAAATGTGAATGCTTTCATGATAACTTTTCATGCTTTTTGATATTGCATTGGGTAGTTCTGACTATTGGCAACCAGACTAGAAACATATAAAATGATTTTTATAAAGCTGTAAGGTTTACTGTTATACATGTATTATCAATAACAACCACTAAATACTAGTAAGTTTAACACTATTCACATTTTTCCTTGCATAAAACATGTTAATCTTGTTTTCTTGTTTACAAAACTTTCATCAAAAGTGAAATTTTGCTTCAAAGATTTTGCATAAATTTCATTTTAATCTCTACCATCTGTTAGAAAATTCCCATCAATCCATTTTTATAGAAATGAGCTGAGAGTGATTCTCTCCCTTTAGGTATGGTGTGCAGAATGTGCAGAACTGAACCCTCAACAGAGGATGTCCTACACCAAGTTTTATTGAAAGCTAGGAAGCCTTAATTTTCTTTTCATTTCTTTTCTTTTAATTACAATTTGCTATGCTGTTATTCTCAAAGACCTTTGAAGTTCTTGAGAATAAATCCAAAGAGGAAAATAAGTGGTAACCAAAACTTTAAACCTTAAAGACAGAATAAAATAATGGACAAGCTTTAATCCAAATACTTTTCTTAAACTTGTGGTTCACATGAATGAATAATGTCTAATACCCTTGTAACTGAACATCAAGTCTTTCGTGTGCATGCATACTGCTGAGTATGACGACCTTTTCAAACTTGTTTTCTTTTATCCAACTTATCAACCAGCGTCGAAAACTTGGCATCTTTCCCTGAAGTGGAAAAAAAATACAAGTACTTTATTAGAGGAAAATTAACATAAACAAACAACCCTCTCAAATGACCTAGTGATATAGTCTTTGAAGTACATATTTTTTTCTTCTTAGGCCAAACAAAAAAATATGTGTGGTTCCGGTTACACTTCCAAAAAAATTAGGGTAGGTAGGTAGGGAATTTTTTTTTTTTTTTTTTCTTTTTTTTTTTTAACAAAATGTTTTTCTTTTATTTTTTCTTTAGAAATAATACCTATCACTGCTTTGCAAATGGCATTTAGATGTAGTGTGATAATATACTAATCAATATTGGTAGGAGACACCTACATGCTAGTTTGCTTTGGATTTAACACTATTAAACGACGTTTTGCAAGGAGGCCATCATTGCTGAAACTAAAACTTAAACTGGAGCCATTGATGGAAATCGGAAAATTCCGGAAAAAAATATGAAAATTGTCAAAAAAAAGTTTAGGGTAGGGGGTATAAAATAGGGAAGGTCGGGTAACCGGAACCACACATATTTTTTTATTTGGCCTTAGCAAAATTATCATGATACTAATACATGTACCACCCGGTAATTACAAAATTTAGAACCTCCATTTCTGAGAAAGATAGATACAAATTCCATTAAAATGCAGTCTTGCAGCTTCATCAGGCATCACCCATATATGAGGACCAAATTATATGAGGACCAAACCATTGTGCATGCAGAAGAATTACTTCAAACAGGTAATAAAAAAAATTCAAAGAGGTTTTGGATATTTTCATGCCAAACAAAAAGCCTTGTTTTCAAGTTTCACCTATTTGTTCTCGATGTACATGCAAGTTTGAATTGAGATTACTTTAAATAGTCAATAGATTGTTCAAATACATGTACATACTGAATATTATTAATGCTTTTCTTTGGAACAAATAAAATGCCAGATTCTAATCTTCTTGGACATCAAAGATACATGTAATTTGTGCCTTGTATTTTTATATTTACATTTCCAATGTCTTTGTCTGAGATAAAATTCCAAATAGTAAAAATACTTTATTTCTACATAAATCTACTGGTTCATCGAAAGGCGTGGTAAAAAAAAAAATCACGTGCAGGGCAGGACAAATAGAGACAGAAGTGGGCTTGTAGCACTTGACTCTGCATAATCAAGAGCATGTAAATATAAGGAATAACTGTCAGATTTTTTGGTTTCCTGACGATGATCAATCGATTGGCTTGCGTGATAATTTTATGCATAAATGCCTTCGGCGTTTATGCAAATTAACACCCAAGCCAATCGATTGATCACATCATGAAACAAAACAAGAGGCCCAGGGGCCACATCACTCACCTGAGCACTATGGCTAGGAAAATGCAGAAATCAGTTCAGTCTTGAAAGGTTGAAAAGTTCAAATAAAAAAGTGGTTCATGATTTGAACAAACTTGAATCTACACTATCTGTGGATGCTACCATATAAATATGACCAATCATGGCTTTGCTGTTCTTGAGAAGAAGATTTTTAAAGATTTTTCCTATATATTCCTATGTAAAACTTTGATCGCCCATTGTTGCCCCACCCGACCCCAGGGGGTCATGATTTGAACAAACTTGAATCTACACTACCTGAGGATGCTACCATATAAATATGACCAATCATGGCTTTACTGTTCTTGAGAAGAAGATTTTTAAAGATTATTCCTATATATTCCTATGTAAAACTTTGATCGCCCATTGTTGCCCCACCCGACCCCCGGGGGTCATGATTTGAACAAACTTGAATCTACACTATCTGAGGATGCTACCATATAAATATGACCAATCATGGCTTTACTGTTCTTGAGAAGAAGATTTTTAAAGATTATTCCTATATATTCCTATGTAAAACTTTGATCACCCATTGTTGCCCCACCCGACCCCCGGGGTGATGATTTGAATAAAAACTTGAATCTACAATACCTGAGGATGCTTCCATGTAAATATGACCAATCATGGCTTTGCTGTTCTTGAGAAGAAGATTTTTAAAGATTTTTCCTATATATTCCTATGTAAAACTTTGATCGCCCATTGTGGCCCCACCCGACCCCCGGGGATCATGATTTGAACAATTTAGAATCTACACTACCCCAGGATGCTTCCATATAAGTTTCAGCTTTACTGGCCCTGTGGTTCTTGAGAAGAAGATTTTTTAATGACCCCACCCTATTTTTGTCTTCTCTTGATTATCTCCCCTTGTGAGGGGACATGGCCCTTCATGTTAACAATTTAAATTCCCCTTCACCCAAGGATGCTTTGTACCAAGTTTGGTCAAAATTGGCCCAGTGGTTCTTGAGAAGAAGTCAAAAATGTGAAAAGTTTACAGACGGACGGACAGACAGACAGACAGACGGACAGACGGACGGACGGACGACGGACAAAATGTGATCAGAAAAGCTCACTTGAGCCTTCGGCTCAGGTGAGCTAAAAAATTAGACAGTTATTCCTTAAATACATACATGTATTACAACCTTCCTAATAAAGATATAAACTGCTGGTAGATTACCTTAACAAATGGAGCCCTCTGTTGAACAACCACTAGCTGGTCTAGTTTACTTTCATACACTACAATAAAAATAGGAATCATATTGGAAATCCAAAGAACAAGTTATACATGTATCTTTCCTTAATACATGTAAAATAATAAATGGAGTTCCTGGGTGTTTTTTTTTTGTTTGTTTTTTTTTTTTGCTCTTTTTGGGGGGAGGAGGGTGATAGCTGTTTGAAATTCTGTTGTCAATTTAACAAACAATATATTAACCATACCTGGGCAAGGTGATGATTAACTTTTCTTTACCTAACAATTTAAATTTTCCCCATTCATTAAGATTTACAAGTTTGGTTTTTATTTATTTATTGGCTCTGTTTCCTTTCTTTTTTTTCTTTTTATTGCATTTCCCCACTTCCCCCCTTAATCTTACCCTCACATGCAGTTACAACTTTACAGACATCTGCTTCTGGATGCGCAAACGGATCATTTCCAACCAAGGGCAGAATACTGTCATGATAGATGAAGCCACATTTGTCCAGCCACATGGTGGAAATCAACAAGTCAGCTGCTAGCTGTCCAACATTTCCTACTGATACTGCCGGCTGCAATGTTTTAAATAATCTAAGTAAATAACAGGCTAATCAGGGAATTTATGTAGCTCTGCCTAAGGAAAATATCAGCAGGTGGAAGACACATATATGTAAGGAAGATGGAAAAAAAGAAATGACTGATTATGATCATTCACATTTTGATGTTATTTGACCTCAAAAGGATTTATGATATGAATAGTACCACATCTGAACCATAGCATCTGAAATTTCATTAATAAGTTGGAAATAAGACCTTAGATTAAAAAAAAAAAAATTGGTTATTGCAAAGCCCTCTGGACCTGCAAATAATTAAGTTTACTAATCCATAATGTGTTTTATCCATATTAGGTACAAGAAAAGTGTTTACAGGAATCAAAACTTATTTTTAAAACTTGATGATATTTACATCCAAAATGTTTAACAAACACTTTTGATTCAAAATGTTTTGGGCAATTCAATCTCCAATTTCTGATATCCCCAAAATTTCTCACTTACAATGCTGGGCCCATATATCGATAATATCGATTCTGTATGGGGATGATAGACATATTGATACACATGTACAGATATTGAAATATTGCCAAAACAATTTCCAGCTTGTTTTTCCTTTGTTTACTTAAAATTTTGGATTCAATATATGTATGATAAATATGCTAAATATAAATATTGATATGAAATACATAATAATTAACATGATTAACATCACTTGTGTGAAATAATTTTGTTTTACAACAGATATACATCTACAGGCATGTAAATTATCCTTAAATGTGAAGATTGAAATGTTTTGTTCATTTCAATACAAAAATAAGATTTTATGATCATTTCAAAATATTGTATGGCATCTTAGCTCAAATATCATGATACATATCAATATAGAAAAAGTTGTATCATCCCAGCCTTAGCTGACAAGGAAATGTCCACCAGTGAATCAATGGATGCTCAGTTTTCAATAAATTTGTGTAACAAATAATCTAATATTTGCTGCATCTATTATGCAGATTCTTACTTGAATGAAAACCCACTTTAATATATACATAAATTTGGCATTTCTGTGTTTGTAATAAATGGGTTTCACTGTATATCACCTGAAATGTTATCTGTAAGTTACAAATAAAGCCCTAGATTAAAAAAAAACTCTACCTCTCCATACATAAAAAACGTATTTAAAAGGTTGTTTATTTTCTTTTATCTTGGAACAAGGGCATCTTATCGGAATATCCACTTTGTTCTCTATTACACATAAATATATACAGGAGCTTTTGTCAAGTTTTCTGTAATAAAGAACAGAGTGGATAAGATGCCCATGTGTTTGAGCTTCATTTGATAAAATTTTGGATGCCTGTGTTCCTGTAGTTTGAATAATCTGTTTCTCAGTTCGTGCCCTCATCACATCCGAATCCATAGGACAATATCATTTTAATGCTAGAATGTTCTATCTTGTGGCCCTGGTCAGGTCTAGTACCAGGGCTTGACATTAACTTTTTTTCCTACTTGTCCATTCGGACAAGTGATCAAGACATTCACTTGTCCAAACTTCACTTGTCTGAAAAATTTTCAATAAAGATCTAATACTGTCAACTTGAAAACTAAATTGAATTCCATTACATGTGCTTGATTGATTCATGATGTTATTGATAAATACTTCATGATCTTATTGATCTATACAACAAATACATAAAACAAAATTTTATCTAAACTTTCTGTCCTGAAGTCCTAACAACAACATAAATGGATTGTCCACATCAAACAGAATCCAAACTTCATAAATTCCATGCCTTTGCAGTAGTATGCAATTAGTTGAATTCAATTCCAAAAGTGTGAACTCAATATAGCAATCCATATTGGGATCGAAGTTCGGTATTATGTACATACTGCTTCTGTCTTTGAACTACTGGTAAATGTTTGACAGTTTCTTTTTATTATTTTGAGACTTCTTTACATTAAAATGCACTTGTCCAATCAGACAAGTGCCTAGCAATATTCACTTGTCCGTATTTTTTTTTCACTGGTACCGGACAAGCAAACAAACATTAATGTGGAGCCCTGAGTACAATCAGTACATTTAGTTATGTAGCTAGAATTACCTACCATACCTTTATTTAGCTACTTCAGATGGCTTTATTTAGCCATTTCAATGCAACTTTTCACAATTTTGCTTTTTACTTAAAAAAAGACAAAAAAATTGCAAGTATATGACTACTAATAGCGAGCGCAGCGAGCACTGCGAGCTCTTAAAGCAACGCCTGGTCGAAGAGAAAATTCGGACTTTGCACATTGATCCAAATGAATTTTTTTCCGCAGTTACCTGTTGTCCCATAATGCTTAGCGAACTGCATCTTGTTGCAAATTACGTTCTCGCAGTAGCAACAAAAATTCAACAAAAAATAAAATCACCTTGATTTTATGGATATATAGCAGATAAATAGTAGATTAAACGTTCTTGATTAAAATTAGCACTGATCAGACTCCGTTTTGGTAATGCAACATACATACGACGACATATGACGTCAGAGTCTAGACGTAGCAAATATCACGTGCAGTTTGACGAGCCCGATTTAAATAAAAACTGAAAGGTATCTGCGCTCGCCCTAACGGTCGCACCGTCAACATATTATTTATACTTGACCGCTTCTAACCAAAAGATGTATTTCCAACTGTACACCATTTTGTGTGCGATGAGGCAAGGATAAATACATGTATGATTACTTCACATTGTGCTGAATAATTACCAGTCAATTATCATTTTAACCAGAACTGGTTTTCTTTGATATTTTATCCAAGAAGTAACTATTTGCTCACAAATTAACTGTTGTATATAACCCCCAAACTTTTAGAACTTTGATTGCGCGGAAAAAGACACATTTTCAAGTTAGAATAGAGTGATTTTTTCATGAATTGCCGCATAAAACAACAGATTTCTTACCAAGATTAAGGTATATCCTTCAAATGACCGTGGATTCTTTTTTTCTACTGGTATAAACATCTTGTATGACTTCAAAGGAGAATAAAAAATCATAAAACGGTAAAACGTTCACAAAATTACAAAAATATGTTTACTCATGGAGGCCGCCATTTTGTTTGCTTTGGAGAATTGTTACATAAAATTATTCGTAAACATCAATGAATTGAAAACCCGAAGGGGGTTAAATAAGTAAATAATTTCAGTGAAGTTGAAAGGCAATTTATGCTTACAAACCTGCTATTTAAAATGGGTAAAAAGAGTAGAAAAGTTCATTTTTACGACAGCCAAATCCGTCAAGTGCAAAGTCTTCCAACTGCGGCCAGCCATATATATTGCCTACATTTGCACTGCATCACCTAGTCCATTATGGGGCGCCATTTCTATATTTTTGAGGTATTTTTTGATATCAAAAAAAGAATTCTTGATATCAATAATTCGAATTCTTGATATCAAAAAATAATTCTTGATATCAAAAAACAATTCTTGATATCAAGAATTTGAATTTTTGATAACAGAAAATGATTTTCTGATATCAAAAATTCGATTTTTTGATATCAAAAAATGATTTTCTGATATCAGGAAATCAAATTTTTGATATCAGAAATTAATGTAGATTTTCTGATATCAGAAAATCGAATTCTTGATATCAAAAAATCAATTTCTGATATCAGAAAATCGATTTTTTGATATCAGAAAATAAATTTCTGATATCAAAAAATGCTTTCAAATTTTTGATATCAAAAAATCGATTTTTTGATATCAGAAAATATGAGTGGAATAAATAGAACTTACATTAATGAATGCTCCCTTATTCCGTATCAACGATTAGTTTACTCGTATTAGTGTTATCCTGAATACCGATCCCGCTGCAACATTGTATGTAATGTTTACTGTGATTAGTGTTATCACTTCATAGTTTATTGTCTAGCCTAAAGCGTTGTGTTTTCTTAATAAACTTTTTGTATAGATTAATGCAGGGAAATAAATAAATATACGTAAATTGATACATGCATTTACAATGCTGATAAGTTTGAAATGTCAGAATTCCAAATAAGTCTTGAAGCCCCCCTTGAGTTGTAAAGACAAGAGATTCGTAGGAAATGACAGTAGAAATGAATAGAGTAATTAACACTTTATGCATTCAGTAAGTTCTCTTTACATCATAAACACTTGTAACCCTCATTTTGTAACATATACAAGTTCGCCTTTCCACTAATTCTATAGAAAATAGTACAAAACCCAAACACAGGGGAACCCTACTTCTGTGAAAACAATCTTGGGGAGAATAGATTATCTGTATGAGCCTAAACACTTATATTTGTTGAATTTCTGATATCAAAAAATTGATTTTGTGATATCAAAAAATCCAGTTGAATTTCTGATATCACAAAATGATTTTTTGATATCAGAAATTCGAATTTTTGATATCAAAAAATCTCGCTTATTTTTTGATATCAAAAAATATATTTTCTGATATCAGAAAACGATTTTTTGATATCAAAAATTCGAATTTCTGATATCAAAAAATCATTTTTTGATATCAGAAAATACCTTAAAAATATTAAAACGGCGCCTCATAGTCCATGAAGCTGATTGTTCGTTTTATATTATGCTTGGAAAAGGTACTAACTTAATTAATATATTTTCTGAGCATGATAAGCTTATATTCACTTCCGTACAATATTTTAATATGTCAATTGCTGTCAGCTTTTGAGAAAAAATTGACAGAATCTCTATAAAAATATTAATTATACAATTTAATTTTCTTTACCATATTTGAATTTAAAAATTCAAATTGTACAACATTCAGTATCAAACAAAGAAACAAACAAAACATTCTCAAATTCCGCGAGAAATACTCGAAGATTTATGATGGATAATTATTTTGTTGTGGAAGGACAGTAAGATTGATTGATTTTATCATGTATTGTTTGACGTCCCATTCGAGAAATTTTCACTCAGATAGAGATGTCACCGCATAGGCGCCGGAAGCAAATTGAAAGGGGAGGGGGGAGGGGCTATAAACCAACAAAAAATGTTCGGGGGCTTAGCCCCAATTTTCAATTGCTATATTATGCATATATGTTTGCAAAAAAGGGGAGGGGCTCCGCGCCCCGGTTCCGACGCCTATGCACCATATACCGGTGAAGGACTTCAAATTTAAACTTATACTCGCCACTGAGGATTATTGAGCAGTGATCATGAAGATTCTTTATGCCAACGCTTACCGTGACAAGATATGTGTACCTTAGTTTCAATCACAGGCAATTGGTGTTACTTATTTTTCTTTTTAAAAAAAATATACCCCAACCTAATAATTCACCAGCCCGGAGGACCGGGCTGCTCTATTTTATGCATATAAGTTTAAGTTTCAGTGTATGGGATTGAGTTGGGAGAAGTTATTATTTGATAGGGGGTATATATTTTTTTATTAAAAGAAAAATAAGTAACGTCAGGTGCCTGTGGGCCCCATCCGAAAGACACGTGACTTTCACTTCTAATGCCGGGCGCTTGGCGAAGGAACAGTCTCAAGTTGCGGCGAACGAGAATCGAACCGGGGCCTTAAAATCCAATTACGAAGTGAAAGCTTAACGACTAGCTAGGTTACCTTGACCAGTAAGAGCCATACATATAGGTACTTGGTTTCAGGATGGTGTACACACTCATTAAAATAAAACTAAAAAATCGCTGAAATAAGCACTTTATAAAATAATCATTTTATTACTGAATATAAAAATTCTTTTTATATACAGTAATATGATAATTTTGAAAAGTGCTTATTTCAGCGTTTTTTGATTTTTATTTTAATGAGTGTTTTCAGATATAACTAAACTATAGAAAAGCACATAATGCACAAAATACACCATCCTGAAACCAAGCGCCTATGGCAAGGACCAGCGGTAATTTTAGAGGAAAATTCTCAAAATGTACAGATTTGGTTTATTCAATATGTTAGAACTTTGGTCCTACATATAAATTTTGTCTCAGAAATTCAAACTTTATTACATATATATATGCTGGGAATGTTTAATGTGGGTTTTTGGAACAAATTTTTACACTGGCATTTTTTTTTCAACATACTTTGCCAAAAATTGCAGATAACGAAAAAGCCAACACAAATTAACATTGAAAATTGCATAAGAACTGCGAACTGCCGCCTACCCAAGTCATTTTTCAAAAGTTAACATATTTGAATGATTTTTCACATTGATATAGATATTTATGTGAATGCGGATCGACTCTAGCCTTGAATAGTCTATATTTCAGCGAGGCAAGGCCCGTGGCAACGTTTTTTCAAAAGGGGAAAGGGGGGGTGAACCTAAAAAAAAATTACAAGCAAAATCCATAAAAATAAAAACTGAAACTGTTCAAACTCAAAAATCCTTTTTCATCAATGCTGGAATTTTTGTGTTCGACCGTACAGGAACAAAAGGTGTGGAGAGAATTAAGGGGACAGACTGTAAAACTACATGCAAATCAAAACCTCTCCCCCACCCCTATTGCCTGGAGGCTACATATGATAAATAGCTGTTGTCTTACTTTTCTCAATCACACACCCTTTCACTTAACGTTACACCAGGTTATTGTTGAGATCCGATCGAGTCTTCCCTTTCAATTCGGGTCATAGACGCACTTAGCTGGTGAACAGTTTATTATTGAACCCTCGCTGATTTCGGCGCTGCATGGACAATACGTTTAAGCGGAAACTATAAAACATTTTAGCCGGAGATTTCAGGCGCAGTTCCAGGATTTTTTTCCGGGGGGGGGGGGTTCCAACCCAGTCGAAAAAAAATTCCAACCCAGCAAATATCCTGACAAAAAAACCTAAACTCCTTTCCTAAACGTATCAAACCCAGAAAATTACCCGATAAGCCAAAAAAAAAAAAGGTAAAATCCCTTTCCCAAACGTGAAAAAACCTATTTTGTGATGGTGGTGGTGGGGTCCACGTTTTCCAGAGGGGAGGGGCAAAGTCAATTTTGATTTGCTTTAGTATATACTTTAAATAACTCTGCAAATTCCAGGGGGTCCGGACCCCCCCCCCCCCCTCTAGATCCACGGTATGGGTTTATAGGACGTTTTAGCGGAAAATAAAATAAGAATAGGTGAGGACATTATAGCAGAAGACTTACTTCATTCATACATACATATTCCCCTTCTGTTTGTAAGTGATATCCGTTGCGCCCTGCTTAATTAATTATTAACAGAGAGATGGAAGAGATATACAGTATACGAGCCTCAAGGTCTTTCACAGAACATCTTCATGAATCAAACCAGTTAGCGGATATTTTTACTTGCATCACAGGGGCATCTTATCCACTCTGTTCTCTACTTTTATATGTGAAGTAGAGAACAGAGTGGATAAGATGCCCCTGTGCTTGCATGTATAAAATTTTTATTTTTTATTATAATGGAGAAATTATTGTCTACGAAAATAACAAACCAAAAGATTAATCTATTTTATCCCCAAATAATTTATCCGTAAATTGTACCGTTCGATTCTAAAATTACAAAATACCAGTGTATGTATCTATTGTGACGTCATGATCACAACACACAACAAATACGTCACAATACTTCATTATTGGCATTATCAGGAAAGTTTTGCTAAAAAACTTGGATTTTACAGCAAAGTTATCATGGAGGTCGGTCACACGAACGTGAGTACCCATTTACAACATTTGTGACATGTGATACAGAACACTTTTCGTGGGTGTTTCTTGTACAAATGAGAAGAAACGGTACAATAACTGCGAAATGTCTACGATACAGAACGGTTTCTTTTTAGCGATCACTGAAAGCTGTATCCATAATAGAGAGAGACATAAGAATCATTCAAATAGCACGACAGAACTGTTAATATTTACTCAAAATTTGTATTTAATTTAGGGTAGACTTTTACAACGTATATAGTTACCAGTGCCGGGTCCAAAAAGGGAGGGAGTGGAGGAAGTTCACGAATGGTTTTCATTGGGGAAATACAAATTAATTTGTCCAAACTCGAAAATCGTAGTTGGGAGGGGGAGGTTTACAATCAACCCTGACACTATGTGCAGGATCGTTACGTGTGGATAAATTTAAAGCGCCTACAATTTAAGCAAACAT